ACCCTCCTTCCGTGGGGGCAGGGGACTTTGATCCTGCCCACTGTGCCGGCAGTGAGGCTCTGGGCTGCAGGTCTCCCTTCCCCTCTCTCCTTCTGTTCTTTCTATCTCTGGCTGCTCCTGCACCTGGGTCCCCGTACACAGGGACTGGCCACTGGATTGTGGGGTGGGGGGCCAGGAGACGTGACTGCCGGACTCTGGCCCTGGCTTTCAGCAGCTTTCTCTCCTCCTACCTCTGAGGGTCTCTGCTGCCGGGTCTGTGCCTGGGAGCCCAGGGGGCTGCTTGACAGGTCTGGCAGGAGGAGCCTTAGGCTGGAGAAGGGGAAGACGGACCATGTACATGCACCACCCCAGAAGCCCGGGGAGGAGGGGCTTTGGCTGGGCCCACTGGGGACACAGAACTGCCTGCCCTGCACCGGGGGCCCTGTCACGGCCCAGGCTGGGTGCCGGGGTCTGCAGAGCCCCCAGGAGGCCAGACGCGGGGGGGTTACCTGTCGTCCATGCCCCGCAGGCAGCAGCTGACGGAGGAGGAGCTGGAACGCATCGAGGAAGCCTGTGACATGGCCCTGGAGCTCAACCAATCCAAGCACCGCATCTACGAGTACGTGGAGTCCCGCATGTCCTTCATCGCCCCCAACCTGTCCATCATCGTCGGCGCCTCCACTGCTGCCAAGGTCATGGGTGAGGGGCCGCGTCCGACAGGGCCGGGAGAAGGGGCACAGGGCCTGGACCCTCGGGGGGGGGACGAGGACGGGGACTGCTTCCCATCCAGCATCAGGGTTTTGATTGGCTGGTTTGGGGGGCAGGGAATGGGGCGCACCACTCTAGGGGGCGCTAGCTCCTGTCCTGCCCCACGGTGGGGATTGCTCTGGCTGGGGGCAGCGAATGGGGCCCGAGGCCTCTCTCTTCTAGAGGGTACCGGCACCTAGGCAGAGCTGGGTCCTCCCCCTGCGGTGCCAGGCAGCGGGTGTCTAACTCTGCCTGTCCAACGCGCAGGCATCGCCGGGGGCCTCACCAACCTCTCCAAGATGCCGGCCTGCAACATTATGCTCCTGGGAGCCCAGCGCAGGACCCTCTCCGGCTTCTCCAGCACCTCGGTGCTGCCCCACACCGGCTACATCTACCACAGTGACATCGTGCAGTCCCTGCCCCCGGTATGGACTCTCTGCCCTGTCCCCTGGCTTCCAGCTCCCTGACCCTGCTCCATCCCCCCTGGACTCCCTGCCTGGCCTCACTCCCGGTTCTGGCCCCCTGCATCCCAGCAGCCTGACGCCCGTGTCTCCGCTCATCCCAGGGCGCCGATTCCCCTCTGCATCTCCCTGCGGTGCGCTCTGGCTTGGACCACCCCGACTCCTCCGTCCCCCTGCCCTGCCCCAAGGGTCTCAGCGCCCTGGTTCTTCTGTCCCCCTTAATGCCAGCGCCCCGGTGCCCTCCCCCAGGCTCTGTCTCCCAGCACTCTGACCCCCCCCCCTTCTCTTTCCCCAGGACCTGCGGAGGAAGGCAGCTCGTCTGGTGGCTGCCAAGTGCACGCTGGCGGCTCGGGTCGACAGCTTCCACGAGAGCCAGGAGGGGAAGGTGGGTATCAAAGCGACGAGTGTGGGGGGCGGCTGGGAGCGCTAGTGGGGCCAAGGGGTAAGAGCAGCCCCCTCCATGTGGGACCTGCCCCCCCTCTCCCAACTTGCTTTGGTTGTGCCCTCCCTGTGCCCAGGGCAGGGTGGCGGCCGCCTGGCTAGTTCATCCCTCCCCTTTCCTCCCCCGGCAGGTGGGCTACGAGCTCAAGGAGGAGATTGAGCGGAAGTTTGACAAGTGGCAGGAGCCTCCCCCTGTGAAGCAGGTGAAGCCCCTGCCAGCCCCCCTGGACGGCCAGCGGAAGAAACGAGGAGGCCGCAGGTGAGAGGATCGAGTGGGAGGCCTCCCGGGGGGCCTGGCACCAGGGCGGGCTGGCTGGAAGGTGGGGGATGGGGCTTTAGGGCCTCTCCTCTCTAGGGGGTGCCCCAGTCCCAGAATTCAACCTAAGTGCTGGGCGCCGCAGTCGCCCCAGGACTGATCCACTGGCCATTCCCTCCAGGTATCGGAAGATGAAGGAGCGACTGGGGCTCACGGAGATCCGGAAACAGGCCAACAGGATGAGCTTCGGGGAGGTGAGTGTCCCCCGACCTTCCTCCGCCTCCCCACAGAGCTGCCTCTGAGCCAAGGTTCTGTCCCCGGCTCTGGGAGGGCAGTGGGATCTAGCGGTTAGAGCAGGAGGGGCAGGGGGGCAGGAGGCCTGCCTCCCAATGCCCAGCTCGCCTCGGGTTGGGGTGGTTCGGGCTCGTCCGTGCAGGCACGTGGGTGACAAGGCAGCTGATAGCTGGGCCTGGCGTGTTGCCTGTGGGTGCTCGTCGGGGCCTTCGGGCGGTGCCGACCCGTACTCGCTGGGGGGGTGCCAGCCCCCTCCTCCAGTGGAGCTGGTGGTCCCCCTCGGCAGTGCAACGAGGGCGCTTTGAGCTCTTGTTTATCGTCCATCCTTGTGTGATGTCCCCTCTCCCCCCAGATCGAGGAAGACGCCTACCAAGAGGACTTGGGCTTCAGCCTCGGCCACCTGGGCAAGTCGGGCAGCGGCCGGGTGCGGCAGACACAAGTCAACGAGGCCACTAAAGCCCGGATCTCCAAGACCTTACAGGTAGTGAGCGGGGGGTGGAGCTGTGGGGGCTGGGTCCCCCCTCAGGCCCGCGGGTTCCACGCTACTGTGGCTACTGTGGCTCTGGATCAATCCCCCTGATCCAGCCCGGCGGCCGCATGGCGCTGATCAGAGCCCTGTCCCATCCGGACCCAGTAGAGACCCCTCTCCCCACCCCTGCACCGCTGCTGCACTAACCCCCTGCCCCTCCGCCTCCGACCAGCGCACGCTGCAGAAGCAGAGCATGGTGTACGGCGGGAAGTCGACAATCCGGGACCGCTCCTCCGGCACCGCCTCCAGCGTGGCCTTCACTCCACTCCAGGTAAGCCCCACAGTGGCCTCCTGCCCCACAGGCCAGAGCCCTGATTGCTGCCATTGATCTGGGCTCACAGGAAGAGTTGGGGGGAGGCAAAATTGATGTAGCCTTTGACACCCCCCTCCCCAACATCTCTGCATGAATGAGGGGAAATAAATTGCTCAAGAGCGGGGGGAGAACACACCTTTCTGGCCCCTTTCCTGAGGTATCCGGGTGCTGGCAGCTGAGGGCTCTTGCAGCTCTCGTTCCATCTAAACGCTCGTCTCCCTGGGAGAACCACTTCCTCTCCTAAACTGCACTGAAATGCAGCTGGTAAAAGCCTCCCCCCGCAGCACCCGGTCACTGTAGGAGCAGCCTTCCTGCCCACCCCCGAGGGGCCGCGTCTCTGTGCCCGGCATGCAGGGCACGTCTGAGCCCCTTGCCTCTCCGTTTCAGGGGCTGGAGATCGTGAACCCGCAGGCGGCGGAGAAGAAGGTGGCGGAGGCCAATCAGAAATACTTCTCCAGCATGGCGGAGTTCGTAAAGGTGAAGAGCGAGAAAAGCGGCATCCTGTCCAGCACATGAGCCTCGGCCAGAGCCCCGCCGAGCGGGGAAGCAGCAGGAAATGGCGGCGCTTTCGCTCTAACTTCTTCGCTCAGCCCGACCCAGCCCTTCCAGCTGCGCGGAAGCTGGGCTGAGTCAACCTGCTGGCCCCTGAACATGGGGGTGGACCGACAGCGGGGCTCAGCGCAGGCTTGGGAGCTCTGAGAGTGAGTTGGGTGGGGGTCCCTTGCGGCGTTAACTGTCTAATGTGTGAGATACACCTGTTACCTGTGTATATATTAGCAGGGGGGTGCAGCAGAGGAACGGAGGGTACAAGTCAGGAAGAGGGCTGACATGACATGGGGAGGGGGGGCATTTAGGGGGTGATTCTCTGTCTCTTTTTAACTTTGTTTTTGGAAGAATTAAACAGGCTACAGCCAAGTGTCTCTGGTTCTCCTGAAAGTGCAGGGAAGAGAATGAGCGGGTGGGGCCGGGTGCGGGGAGGCCTTTGCGCGTGGAGCTGTATGTTCTTATAGTGGGCGTGACCCTGCAGCCCCACTCAGCACAGGCGGAAGTGGACTGAGGCAGTGCCCTGACAGCAGGTGCCTGTCCCCCTGGATGCTGCCTACCCCGTCACCAAGATTGGGGGGCCCTTTGAAGGGCAGAGCGGCCTGGGCCCAGAAGAGGAAGCTAGGGGGCTCCGCAGGACAGCTACAGTGACCAAGGCGGCCTGCTGTGGGCTACCCAGCCAGTCCCTGAGGGAGGGGGCCAGGGTAGCGGCACGGCCATAGGGCCAATGGGTGCTTGTCCTCAAGGGTGTAGTCTAAAGAGCTTCAGCCTAGTAGAAACTGAGGGCAGGGTGCTGCCCAAGATCACCTGGGGGAGGAGAGCCCAGGTCTAGGGAGTCCCTGGACAGAGCCCTCCCCCCTGATGCCACAGATGGGGGTGGGGACTAGTGTAGCCTCACATTTTTCATGTGCAGAATGGGGCACGTCACTGTCGAGCTGATGCCTGCACCCGAGCACATCACCAACCCCACTCTGTACATGGAGGGCGGGGGTGGGTTGAGTGTGGGAGGAGGCTCAGGTGAGGTGGAGGGTGACTGAGAATGCAGTCAGGGCTGGTGCTGGGGGAGGGGAGGATGCTTCCCCCCCTCCCCCGCTGTGTCAGCTGTACCATAGGGCTGGAGTGGGGCTGCCAGCCAGAAGTGCCCCTTCCCTACAGCAGGTCTGAGACCCTGTGCAAGACTCGCTGGGGCGCGTGGGGCTATGCAGCACAGGGGGAACGCAGTTGGGGACCCCTGCTGCAGCTGCTGTCCTTGGCTCTCACTGTTTTGGGGGTCATGCTGATTCCTGACTGCAGGAACAGGTGTGTGGCTGGTGGGGGTTGGCTCTTGCTCCTACCTCTGGGAGAGGATTTGAGGGCCACTGGTTGGAATTGGGGGAGGAGAGAGGAGGGGTGTGGGAATCAGGCTGGGAGCTGCTTTTCTGAAAGGGAAGGGGCATCCAGCGTTGCCATTAGCCCAGATCAGTCACCTAGGGCTTAGGCCACCGGGGCATAGGAGCAGTGGCCCCTTGTCCTATGGACGTGACTGGTGCTGTTTTAGCCTGACCCCCTTACCCCCTACACCTGTGTTATAGCACTCTGATGCCATTCAAAGGAGCACGTTTATTTTAGGGATTCAGAGGGGGAACCGAGTGAATCTGTAACAGGAAAAAGTTAAACAAATCGTCTAGTCGCACCTTAACGACCCACAACACATGTGGACAGGAGCGGGGTCTGAGCATCCCCACCCTGCCGGCCAAGGCCTTTGCCCTCCTGGGGTACAGGGGCAGTCCCCCTTGTATGGAAACTCCACCGCCCCGCTGTGCACACATACTACTGCCCCAGTCTGCCTCTCCCCCTGCCCCTCGCCCAGTGCTGGGGGCTGCTCTTGGCCTAGCCCGGTCCAGGATCCCCATCCCATCCCCAAGGCAAGGGCGAGCATCCCCACCCTGCCGGCCAAGGCCTTTGCCCTCCTGGGGTACAGGGGCAGTCCCCCTTGTATGGAAACTCCACCGCCCCGCTGTGCACACATACTACTGCCCCAGTCTGCCTCTCCCCCTGCCCCTCGCCCAGTGCTGGGGGCTGCTCTTGGCCTAGCCCGGTCCAGGATCCCCATCCCATCCCCAAGGCAAGGGCTCCTGTGCTGTGGCATGTACCCTTGCACACCCCCCCCCCCTTCCAGGGTGCCTGGGGGGGGCGGCCTATAACTCAATATTGCCCAGAAGGGGGGAGGGGCTTTGCCAGGCCTTCAACGGAATTGGCTCCTTAGGATTTGAGTGACAACCACGGTGGACCAATGACCCGTTTGTTTTAACTCCGCCTCCCCGTTGCACTCTACTATAGTTGGTTCGTCGCCCGTCGTCTCAGCCAATCAGCGTCTGGCGAATCCACTAACCCGCCTCCCCTGCTTCGGCGGGTCGCTGCGATCGAGCCAGCCGCCCTCCCCCGCTAAGACAATCAACT